ATCTCTGAAACTGTGAGCCACAGAGAGCTCTTCTTTAAAAAATTAGCCTGCCTGGGAATTTCCCTGCAGTCATGTAAACCGGACTAAAACATGGATATTCATGACAACACTGTTGTAAGGAAAAGTGGAAATACAGTGTAAACTCCACCAATAGGGTTGATTTAAAAATACGACAGTAGATTATGATATAAAATGTGATGGATATACATACTGATTTAGAAAACTGTTCAGTAAATAAAAACCAAATTGCAGAATAGTGGACTGGTGGTTTGGTCACTTCCCTCATTGCTAAGACACAATGCTCAGTACCCTCAGCCTTCAGGAGGAAAGGGTTATTTCAGCTCAGGTTTTGGTCCAAAGTCCGCTGGCTGCAAGAGGGACAGCATGCCAGGGGGTCCTGGTGGGGGGAGAACTGCTCGCCTCATGGCAGCAGGAAGCAGGGTGAAGGGAGCGCCAGCGAGGGAGAGAACCCAGTTCCACCCAGGCCACCTCCTAAGGGCACCTGGACTTCAAGCTCATCGTGGGCTCATCCACTGGCAGGTACAGCGCTCCACCATCACAGACTGTTTTCAGAGGTCAGAGAAATTTATAAAATGGGTAATTTAGTTCAGGAGCAGGATAATCCAAATAGGATTTGTCACAAGTATCTAAAGTTAAATATGAAGCTGAAATACTAAGAAACTAAACTACTGAAAAGCTAAAAAATTGGCATGATTTTTAAATGTTTTATAAACTTAATGTCTTTTTATTATGATAAAAATTCTAAGCTTATAGAAGAGAATTCAGTTAGATTTTTGCACATAATCATTACTCAGGAAGTGCTGATTTCCATACATTTTAATTAATATGAATTAGCAACAATGAGCAAAAACAAGCGCTTTGGAGGTAGGAGGCAACTTATCACTATCACGACTTTTTACTGTTCCTGACATTTTTTTGAGGTGTCCAGATGACTTCTGGGTAGGAGTCTGAGGCGAAGGTAAGCAGCGTCTTTTCGGCAAGTCCTGACATTCATTACCACTCACTCTACCTTTCAGTATTCACAGGACTGGGGTCGCAGATTAATAGTATACTCTCTGGGACAGTTCTCAGGACCACATTCCTTCCCCCTCCATCCTGGCTTTGAGTCAAAGAGTCAGTTTGACCCTTTCCTTTGCACTTTTCATGGAAAGGTCTTCAGCAGTTTTGTTTACCTACAGTAGTAAAGAAGGCAATCTTCCAAAGACTTCCAAAGAAGTCTACTTCCAAAGACTCAATAAACGAACTTCTTCAGGTAACTCCAACAGCAATCACTCAAGGGCAGGTTCTGTCCTTACTGTAGTTAAGCACTATTCCCTTATAAGATGTAGGACCTTTCTTTTTATGATGTGGAGTATCATTCCTTGTATACCTACAGGATCATCTGGCTCTGTGACAGTCAATAAGCATCTATTTTGATTTTCCACACAGGAAAAAAGTACATTTGAAATTTTATAGCTCTTTGGGTCTTTCTCCAAATCTGATTGAGTGATTTAAATCTAGATTTTAAAAATCCATTGGTCTTACTAAATTTGGATTTGATCATTTACATATATATATATATATATATATATATAAGAAAATGTCTTTCTTATAAGGTTTGATATGTCTCATGTGGCATTTAAAATGTTGAGGCATCTGGCATTATATAGTGATCTCTAGGTATCTTAAATATTTTTTACTAATTATATTTGAGTGTCTGAAGTTCTTGGAGTGGGAGGAGAGACACAGAGACAGATTTATACTGGGTTGTTTTTTCCAATTCAGAACATGTCAGTGCTAGCCCTGAGACAGACCAAAAAATGCCTTAATAGGTTTCAAAGAACTAAGTTGTGTTGTCAATGCATTCTGGCCAAAGTAAAATCAATGAAAATCAGTTAAAAAAAAGATAGGCTGAGAAGTCAGAAATGTTTGGAGATGAAATATTGTACTTTTAAGAAATTTATAGGTAAAAGAAGAAATCACAATGAAAATTAGGAAATATTTCTGAGTGATCATGAAGATAGTGTATTTCAAAACTTGCAACATAGCTAAAGTAGGGATTACAAACTGCTATGTATTAGAAAAGGTGGAAAGTCAAGCATTTACATATCTATTTCAGGAAATTAGAAAATAAGTCAGAGCTCAAACATTAAAATTAGTAAAATTTAAAAAGCGGACCAAAGACATTGATGGAATTGAAAACAAATATATAATGGAGAATATTAAGATGTCAAAAATTGGCTTTGGAAAAGAATGATACTGATCAGCCCCCACCAAAACTGATCAAGAAAGAAAGAAAAAGATGCAAGAGAAGACACACTCTATGAATGTTAAAAATGAACAAGGGTACGTCACTACAGGTCTTAACAGACATTGAAAATGATTTGTTAAATGAAATGGAAAAATACATAGAAAAAAGAAAACAAAACTGACAAAGAATTAGAAATGGAAAATATGGATAGTTCTGTATGTTCGAAAGAAAATGAATCTGTAATTTAGAAAATCTTAGGCTGGCTGGCTCCACGTATAGACTTCCAGAATACTGGGAAAGAATTTACAATGTTTTCCGCTGATGCAAAAGGAGGCCACTTCCTAACTCTCTCTCTCTTTTTGGTACAGGGGATTGAACTCAGGACCATGTGCCTGCAAGGCAGGCACGGGGCCGCTGAGCTAAATCCCTGGCCCCCTGTATCTTTTTTTAAATGACAGCAGTATAACCTCAAATGTGACAAAAACTTTTAAAAAATAACAGTTTCCATGTATTAATACCTTAGGGATTTAGAGAAATCTCTTCACTGGAAGGAAATTTACTATAACTACAAATTGACAGGTGAACAGCAGATGCGCTATTATGCATTTCACAAAACCACAAATTGTACCTTTACCATCAGGAAAATGGCATGTATACAATATTTTAATATATATATATGCCACTTTATATTCTTACACTTATATTTATACACTGCAATTGAAGTGATATTAAAAACAGAATTCCTTGAAACTTTGAATGAATTCACAGGGAATGATTTAGGAATACTCTGAGAATTAAAGAGACAAGTAGTCCCTAATACTTCCAAAGTTTAGTTACTTTGCATCTAATAATTGAATAATATTAAAACCAATATATTATAATTTAGTATACATTATTATTTTATATATATATAATTTAGCTGGCAACAGAGGACATCTTGCAAATGTTTAAGAAGGAACATTTTAAGAGTTAGTTCATTTGGCTATTGTTGCATAGTGGTTTATTTCTCCTGTAACAATCCATTCAGAGGTGCGAGGAGACTTTCTTCTAATTAACACTCCTATCTTTCCCTCTGGCCCTGTTCACTGAGGCGGGGCGGACACGTGTTAGGCTACAACTGCTGTCAGAGAAACCTTTGGCCAAGGGGCTCATGCAGGACACAGGCTGTGGGACACCAGGCCTCGCCTCATGGCTACTTAGTATCTAACAAAGAATGAGGCAGACTTTTCTGAATTTAATCTGGGCAGCCCAGAATTTAAAGCAGTGAAGTAAAACGTGAAAAGTTATAATGGTAGTAAAATGTGGGAGGTTAGAAAATTGTGATTCTGAAAATTCTCTCAGTATGACAGAATCTTTCTGACTCACAAAAATGAAAAGACAAAGCAACTCTAACTAGCATACCAGCATGCATCTGTGCATTTGAGTGTGTGTCTTGCGGCTGTCTGGAGTCTCCTTCATCTGAATGCGCTGCGGGTTACGTCTGTGATTGCCTGTGTGAAACATGTTTTTATACACCAATAACACTTATTATGTATGCAACTGCTTAGGAGCAATAATGACATTGAAATGATTTCTGCTTACATAGTATTTTACCTTTCAAAGATTTTTTTCACTTTGACTAGCTGTTATCTTCAAAATAAGCAGGGAAATAATTAGTAATAGTGTCCTCATACGATTATGAATAGCTAAATCTTGGAAGTGGCCTAAATGTCCTTGGAGAGATGAATGGGGAAAGAAAATGTGGTATTTACATACCACGGAGTACTACTCTGCCATAAAGAAAGATGAACTCGAGTCATTTGTAAGAAAATGGGTGCACCTTGAAACCATAAAGTTAAGTGAAATAAATCAGACACACAAGCTTCAATACCACCTGATTTCTCTTATATGAGAAACTCAAAACATAAGTAAAGAGAAAAATAAAAGCAGCAATAGGAAGTGGGGAGACAGATTGTTCTCAAAGGGGAATGGGACCCAGAGACCGAGGGAGGGCGGGGAAAGGATGAAACAAGGGCTGAGTTGTTCTGCGCACGTCCGGCTGCCCACAGGATTGCAAACATCATGCACTATGCACATGTATTAATAAAAAACGACGAATAGGGTACTTTTTCCTATTTAGGGTTTTACTTTTTCTCTTATTTTCATTAGACCAATAGAGCTGGTTAAGCCTCATTATTACAAAGATTGTGCTTTGTTTTCTCTGCATATGGGATCCATAAAAAGGGCCGAGTGCTCCTCAGAGTTACAAGACAGCAGATGGGGGACTGCATCCTGCGTCTACCTGTGACTAACGAAGGGTCAGATTTCAAGATCAGGAGGTCATTTTAACAAGCACGTGTAAGGAGGACCCGGACGCGTTCGCATGCACTTTGTACACACTGCATTCACTCTGATACCGCCTCTCTTTTCCCGGCCAGGGGGTCTCATGGCCCCTCTACTTCCCCCGGAAACACTTGCAGTTTTTCGCTGAGTCTTCACCCAACTCCTCAGAGCACCTGCATTTAGCTGGATGCCGCTGCCTGCCTCAGTCTAACAGACCAAGTCATGCTTGGGACCCATCCCGGGGTAGCGTTTCATGCACCGACGAACGCACCCATCGAAGCTACTCGGGAGGCAACGGCTTCTCTTTCAAAGCAGTAACAGAGAAGCAGAGGTCTCCGGACGCGTCCTAGGCAACCACGGCCGCCAGCTGCTAGGCAAGCTGCCAAGGCACCGAGGGGCCAGGTAGGCGCGCGGCCCGGGTACTCACAGGTCTCCGTGGACGAGTCCGTAGATCTGCGGCATGCTCTGATGGTGGACCCCTCGCAGGACCACGATAAGCAGGATCACCACGAGGGCCGGCAGCCCCCAGCCCAGGAGCAGGAACAGCAGGCAGCGGCGCTCCGTGTGCTCATCGCTCATAACCAGCACGTACCAGAAATTCACCGACTGAGGAAGCAAGCAAAACCCACGCTCCGGTGAATGGCACAGGACGCCAACTCAGCCTACTTACTGTGCTTTCTATTGTCTCTGCTTTAACCGCAGTCATAATGGTCTGGGATTGTTCTGAAGATCCGTGCTGGAAGAAACAGGCAGTGATATTCAAATCAACATCGTGACAATGAGAATGAAGGAAACGGCCTGGGTTTCCAGGCTTTTCCATCCTTTTTATTAATCCAGGGTACTGGGTGCTGCTCCGGTGAAGGGGGTGCCACCTCGAAGGTGCCCTCTGCCTCAGTCCCAGGGGAGGTATAGAGGACCACACACAAAGCCACCGCCCCTCGAGGGGTTAGGCTTTGTGGTCTGTTCTGCTTTCTCTGTTTACGCTCACTTTTTTTGCTTATTGAGTTGACAAATATTTATTGCATGCTTACTAGATCTGAGACCAGCGAGCCACTGGCAATATGGCAGCGAGAGATGGGGGCCACTTACCATCCTGAACCCTGGATCCCAAACAAGCAGGCAACAAGCACTCACGGGTCTGTTTTATGTTTATCTTAAGTTTATATAATGTATTAAACCCGCTATGCTTATTAAGATACAAATACACAAGGGGCAGGTATGTAAAGCGTGAGGGCGATGCAGAGACAGATTAGATAGAGGAAACAGGGAAACCGAGGGCTGCAAAGGTTACTACTTGGTCCCAAATCCCACACCCAGGCAAATAGAGAAAATATGTATTGTCTTCTAGTGTTCTCATTCCATGAGGAATGCTTGCATTTAATTGTCATCTAGCACAGTAATGACGTTAAGTGTCATGTCATCCATATTTCATACAGTAGTCGTTAATATCTATCCACTAGCTGAGGCTCCTGTGCACTTTACTATGGAAAGAGTGGGAGGGTAAGTGAATTTTATACACACATTATATTAGGGGACAGTCTCAGAGAAGTAACATTTCCAGAGCTCAGTTTCCTGATGCACAAGGTACTGTAGAGATTAAACCAAGTATTACATGGAAAATGCTGACTATATACATAGTCACCACTGGAAAATATGACCACCTCCCCTAAATCTCCTATTGGGATGTGACAAAGGAAAAAGAGCCTAAGACCAGAGCAAACATAGATACAATGGAAATCCTTTCTACGTGAAAAATAAGTACGTTCCATGTTTATGCGAAGGCTTTCGGGTGCTATTTACTGGGTTTCTGAGGAAGAGTCTATCTAGACTGGATTAGCCTCGGGGAACTAGTATTAAGCTAAATAGGGAAAGGATAAAAATGTGTGGTTCCTTGGAGATTTTTGTTACTGAATTTAATTTGCTGTCGGCATTCTTTATCTTTATGTACATCTGCTTATATGTAATTATGAAGCATATTTTGAGTTGTTGCTTATGTAAATTTGTTCTAACTTCTTTATAAAAATTAATTAGATCCAAAGAGGTTTTTTCCCTCTAAGTAGATTTAGCAGAGGGATGTGGGCCTAAATAAAGGGAACAGGTCAAGTGTCACACAAAGTAAAGGACAACAATCTAACTCCAAAATATAAGTACTGATCATCTGTATGAAGTACATGTCTCCGTGTCCATGTAACATGGAGCCCCTGGTACGGCAGAGGGGAGAATCAAAGAAGAGGACACTTTGCTAAATGACTTCCAAGCTGGTCATCATTGTGCAGACTGGACATTTTCAAATGCTTGCTTTATACACATGGGCATCGGTTTCATCATGACGGACTTCTGTGCCATCCAGCCCCTATCTGACCTCTACACAGGCTGAGCTAAGTGTGGTTGTTAGGTTTATACACACAGTGCTTCTGCAGTGTTGCTGAATTCTTGAATACTCGATGAAGCAGTGGGCACTCCCAATGTCATGAGCTTTGGTGTATAAATCCCTCCTTAATAGCACCCAATCACGCACATGTGCCAAAATGACAGCATTTCCCGATTACATATTATTTTTTAGACAACAGAATGAAAATACTATGTAATAAAACTAATGTTTTAGAAATACTCTGTGACCCACAAGTAAGATTAATTTTGACTACCTCATTTCAAATCTCACTTGAATTTTATTTAAATATAAAAAGGTTGGCACATTTTGGGATGTACGACTGCTCATGAGCTGCTCTGTCCTAAGCTGGGTCCCCATAGCGTCCCCCATCACCAGCAGAGTGGCCTCAGTGGTATGTGCTCCGTGACTCTGCTCTGCTGGCCACAGCCGATCTGATGGGGCAGAAGTCCCGGCCAGTCCTCTGTCACTGAACTCCTTTTACCTCCATGAGCGTCTAAAGGGGCCAACAGAAATGAGAGCGTATCTGAAGCGTGGTGGTAGGGGCAGTCATGTGCCCAGTGAGGAAGAGAGCGTGTGGCACAGAAGACAGGACAGTCCAAACCTTCCTGGGCTCACAGGCCCTGAGCACAACTACACTTACAGAGCTTGGGTTCAGTGGGTTATCCTGGATACTTACTCCTTTTATGATGTCACTGTTTGTTTAAATCAGCCCCATTGAGTTTTTCTTTTTTCTTTCAAAACAATTTGTCTGTCTGTCTGTCTGTTTATCTATCTATGCTGAAGCAATAGGGTCAAAACCTCCAGTTTTCGCTATTCTTTGAACAAAAAGATGATACAGCACTTGACTATCTTCCTTCCTGTCCTCAACTCACGGCTTTTCCTCTGTAATTTAACTTAAGAGCATAATGAGATCGTTTGTTTGCATAGCAATTTCACTTGGCAGATATGTAGCACAGATGATTTATGAGCCTGAGTGTCTGTGGGCTAATCCAGTGCAGGTTCTCACAATGCCAACTGAAGGTGTCACTGATGGAAACACACTTCATGCTGATGGTGTGTGGCTTATCATGCTTACCACTGTCTTACACTTTTCCTGCTAAAGACTAAATGTGAACTAAAAACTTCAACATCTGTGTCTCTATTTACATTTCTATTTCCAAGCCTTAAAGATGTTAGAAGAATGTTGTGAGCTCTTCCAAGACCAGCTGACATGACTATGTAGCCGCTCTATGAATCTGACTTGACTATTCCTGCAATTCACACACACGCAGCGTACCTAGTGGTATAGCATGAGACTATTCAAACTGACGTAGTCTTTAAAGACATGTCTAGAAAGACTAGAACACATTTTTACCACTATAAACCATCAAGTTGTTCACTTTGAAAGGGACAACAGGAAGAGTATTTTGCAGTTTAAGCAATCAGTGATGTTAGCAGTTAGTTATACATTTAATATGAATTCTAAACATTGGGTAATTGAACTACCACCTTATTTTCATTATTGCTCATCAGTGAAGGATGGCTTATTTTCATTTTGCATATTTATCACCATCACCAGCATATCAAGATTACCTGGGCCGGGGATTTAGCTCAGTGGTTCTGGCGCCTGCCTCGCAAGCGCGAGGTCCCAAGTTTGATCCCCGGTACCAAAAAAAAAAAAAGATTACCTGGGTTGCTGCGCTCGGCAGAGGGATCGTGCCAAAGTGCATGTGTGCATGCGCGCGTGTGTGTCCTTGGCATGGCCGGGCATGGCTGCCTTGCTTGGGCATCAGCAGGACATTTTGTGAATAGTTACAATGCTTCCAAACTGGAACTCTACATTTTGTATCTTGCTTTTAAAGCTCCTCTAAGTAAAATACCTGTTGGCTTTATTAAAAAATATACATTTAATAAAAAAAAAGATTACCTGGGTGACTATACTTGGGAGAATTTAATTGAAAGCCAATTTTAATAAATGTTAAGAAAATTATGCAATGATATTCTTGAAAATTTCCTATCAGAAGCAGAATCTACAGAAATATGGGAAAGAGGATTCGAACAGCCTCCCCCATAATCCACCAGATCAATAATGTGAATAATCAACAGTTTTTTTGATTTATAAAAATTGGAACAGACTGACATAGCTCCACATGGATATTCTGTGTTTTGTTTTTGTTTTTGTTTTTGGTACTGGAGGTCAAACTTGGGACCTTGGACTTTCAAGGCAGGCGCAGGAACCACTGAGCTAAATCCTGGGCCCCATGCTGTGTTTTTTGCCCACACTATAAGTTATCTCTGGGTTTCAATTTCCTCCTCTGAGAAAAGGAGAGGTTAAACTGTAAGTCTTTAACAATTTCCTGACACTCTCTGATTGAATTATAGTAGAAATGATAATTTCTTAAATAAAAATATTAATGACATGGCTGCGCAGACCACAATTGTCAGTGATAACACAGACCTTAGAGATCACCTGCCCAGGCCCTCTCATTTCCAGATGAAGACACAGAGGCAGGGAGAAAAAGCATAGGTTTTTCAAACAGTTATAGAACTGGGAGTGGGACCCAGTCCAAAGAGCCCTGGGAACACTAGTCAAATTTAAGACTAATGTCCACAGAAATTCACACAAGCAGTGAATGACAATATTACTGTGTGCCAGGGAGTTTCCCTTCTTGTCTTTTATTTCTCTCACTACATATGGGAGTAAAGATGCATTTTCCTGGTAGAAGTTTATATAAAGATTAACTCTTTATTCCTGCCCTGTTCATTCTGTGCTAACATTTAAGGAAAACTAGTAAAGGTTCATCAAAATATAAATAGCTTGAAACATAACTGAGTTGTGGAAGATTAATTTTTTGTATATGCAATATTAAACATTAAATTCTGTACCATTTCACAGAATGCTTTGCATATAATCTGTATTGAAAAATATCAAATAAATGGGCTGGGGATTTAGCTCAGTGGTTCTGGTGCCTGCCTCACAGGCAAAAGGTCCTGAGCTCAGTCCCTGGTACCAAAAAAAAAAAAAAGATCAAATAAATGAGGATGTACACAATTTATTTTGAGTATTTAGCATATCTATTCATTTTCCAGGAGCATTTTCAGTGACTACTATTTTCCAAGCATCTATATAGCAAAATCAAGGACATACTTTGTTAAATGTTTTGGACACAGGTCACAATTTTGGTTTCATATGTCCCATAAATTCATTCATTAACTTAGTCATGTATCATTAACA